GCAGCAGGTTAATGCCCTGGCCTGAAGCGCCAGCATCCCATATAGGCGCCAGTTCTAGTCCAGGCTGCTCCACTTCCCATCCAGCTCTCTGTTATGGCCTGGGAAAGCAGTAGAAGATGGCCCAAGTCCTTGGGTCCCTGCACCCACGTGGGAGACCGGGAAGAAGCTCCTGGCTTCTGATCGGCGCAGTTCCGGCCGTTGCGGCCAATTGGGGAGTGAACCATCAGATGGAAGACCTCTCTCTCTCTCTCTGCCTTTCCTTTTCTGTGTAACTCTGACTTTCAAATAAATAAATAAATCTTAAAAAAAAAAAAAAAACAAACAGGAGTTAGGCCTTAGGGGTGCCTCCTCCTCCTAGTGGCCTGGAGTAGGGTGGTGCTGGCAGAGACTCAGGCTTGGCAGGCACCTCCAGGGGACATATAATGCAAACTCCTGCCCCTACATGCCAGCATGTCCATCTACGGAGACAGACGTCTACATCTTGAGACCCTCCTCTGAGAGGGAGAGTCGTGTGTGTGTGTGTGTGTGTGTGTGTGGTGTGTCTTTCAGGCTGCACTGCCTGGAATCCCCAATGTCACAACTGCAGGTGGGGCTGGGAGCAAGCTCACCGGCTGCTGGGTTTGGACCACGTCCCCTTACTCAGTGCATCCGATGTTCCCTGAGCATCTATCACCTCCGGGCCCTCTAAGGTAACCTGCTTGCCAAATGAACACAGCAGAATGTCAGACGTGACCCTTGTGTTGACCTCTGTACCCCATTCAACAGATTTCACCTCTCTAAAGGAGAAAGGTGTGACTTAACAGTAACATTCCCTTCCCAGAGGAAAATGTTCTTTCATTGTCAGGACAAGCATCCTCTGTGACCCTCAGTCCACTGGCTCTCAACTGCAGGTCGTCAAAAGTCACCTCGCAACAGCCCTTCATCCTGCTCCCAGGGACAGAGTCAGCACAAATGTGCTATCTGATCTTGTGGCACCATGGGGAGTCTTGAATTAAAACGGTTCAAAAGCCTTTTTTTTTTCTGCCTTACAATTTGGCCATCTTTCCCCTTATGCAGTAAAATCTCCAATAGTTTGGAATTTATGATCCTTAGGACAGGGACTGGGCTGATGTCTGCTTCTGGGTGATTCTGCATGGAAAGGTTTTTCGAAGAAAATTAATTGCTTGCCAAAAGAATCATAAAGGACAATGTTTATTTAAGGGGCTGCAGTTCTAGCCCTTTACCAACACTCACATACCCGGCACAAACAACTGACAGGTTAATTTCAAATGATTCTTGCATGTTCATTAAGTCCCCAGCTATTATTGTTAATCAATCAGATCCTTGAAGTTTGAGCTGGCCTCAGACTAACTGGGTTTTTCTCTGAGCCAAAACTTCTGAGATACAAACTTTTCTAGACCAAGCAATTAACAAAGGGAGTTAGGTTCATGCCAGGCACAATGATGAATCACTCTCGGTGGGCATAAAAAGGGGGCGTCTCTACACCTCAGGCGTCGTGGGGAACGGTGTTGGTTCCCTTCCAACTAGTGGAGTGTGAGATTTGATGACAGCGACCATGCATACTGGCATGCCTGGGATATTCCCTGTTAGAACTTCCATCCTGGAATAGTTACTAATAATAGTCCATTTTCATTATTAAAGACATCCTGATATGAACTATAAATTGCAGCATTGCTATAGTTTTGATGAAACTAATGGACTAAAATTCTGATTGTTCAAGGAGTTTGAGCTTTCTTTAGACTGGCAGGACCTGGTCTTCTCTACATAAATGAAAAGAATGCTCTGTGAAGACCTTGTTCCAATCAATTCTAAATCCAGATAATTCTTTACCAGCCCTTCCTCCAGCTGAGATAGTGAGGACAGAAAGCAGGTAACATTTCCCTCAGGGATGGGAGCTGTGGGACCACCCTTGCCCCATGCAAAGTGGGTAACTCCAATGTAGCTGTCAGGGGTTGAAATCCCACAATTTTTATAGTTTCTATAATTTGAGGGAGAAATGGGTAAGTAGGGAAATACAATACTGAAGAAGTGTTAATTTCTTTTTGGACATTCCAAGCTTTATTATAGAATGAAGTTTGGGATGGGGGGGGGGGGTGTTTTACCTGATTCAATTTTCACAGTTCGGCGTCTGAGGTAGCTACTGTTATTACTTCCATTTTCAAGCTCACAAAGAGGCTCAGCTAGGTAGAGCCACCTGTTCAGGAGACTCAGCTAGCAAATGACAGAACCAGAACAGGAATGCAGGTGTCTCATGCTCCAGTCTGATCTCCTAACCACCACAATATACTGTCTCCCACTCTGCTATACTACTCTGACAGCTGAGTCAGACCCGTGCTTGCCATCTTATAATCAAGCTACTGCCTTGTCAAGGAGGCATCATGGTGGGGTGAGGGAGAAGATGAGGGAGTGGGACTTCAGGGTGACAGATTTTGCTTGTAGTACAGTTGTATGATGTATACATACTGCTATGAAATCAACAAATTGAATGTAGGCTTCTATCCCGGTACTGAATTATCTTTAGAGGTAGACTTAAAATATCCTGAGGAAGTTCAGTACGGGGTTGGGGGGGATAGCTCTCACCTGCAAACAGATATTAAGTGTGTAACCAACAGAACTGGCTGGTGGACCGCCTCCCCTCCCCCATCTTCCTGCAGACAGCTCCTCGGGCTGGGCTTGACTCACTCAACAACATTTCAGAAGAGACCAGCTCCCCGGATTGCCTCTAGAGGAAGCCACGGGGGCTCTGCTGACGCTGTGTCAGTGCCTGTGTCCTTTATTCCTCCTAAGAACTCTGCTGTGGAAACACGGTGCTTTTCATCCTGAAATAAGTATAGAACATTGCAAAGGAAGTGGAAATTGGCCATCTCTGGATGTGGCTGACTGAGGCGACAATGGAGATGATTCAGGTTTCATAGCTAGTTTGTTAAAAGACAACTCAAACACAGTCTTCCCACCCACCCCCGCTTTCTTTCTTTTGGAGGACCTGGATGAAAATGTTTCCTGTTCACTCTCTACTCCGAGGCAGGAGTAACAGCTATAAAACTGGAATGTGTTCTACAGAGAGGCCACGCCTGTTACAGAAGTGTCCAACAGCATCCTTCCAGCATGATATAAATTGGGGACTTACGGGCTCAGACTTTTATTTCAGGGATGGTTTCCAAGGGGATCTAGGACTTGAAAAGACACCAAGTGAAGATACCAGGGGAGGGGCAGAGGCAGGTGGCTATTGGAAAAGTCATAGACTCAATCAGAATTAGCACAAAGGACAAGGGCTGGGAGATCTTGTGGACAATACACAGGGTTGAGACTACCACCAAGGAAAGGGAATGACAGCAGTAGATGAACAAAGGGAGAGGGTGGACATGAGGCACGCTTCTCTGAATTCGCACACCACCGGGAGTCTGCTCGTCTCTCCCTGAACCTTGAAATAGATGGACGACTCTGAATCAAATGCCACGCTTCTAGTTTCCAATGAAATTTCCCCTAGTCCCTTCGCCAAGGGCATTTTCTTTGGCCATCGCAGCCCCTGATTTGCCAATAGTCGGTGCACTCCAAAGGTGGAACGGATGGCAGGAACCCAGGAGGAGAAAACCGCTGACGTCAAAACTCTCTACAGAGAACCTCCCTCCATGCAGAGAAGCATCCGCTTGCTTTTAATGGCATGTGGTGCTACTGCCCCCCCAAGCCTGTTTCAGTGGGGGCCCCCTTCCTCCCACCCATAAATACTGGCTGCTGCCTGCAGCCTGCCATACTCTGTGTTTCTTGCCCACCCCTTCCTGAAATGGGACACCCATTTTTCCCAAAGACCTCTGTGAGCATCCCCATTGCCCTGGGAAAAGTTCTCCAGTGTGGGTTTGATCCTTCAGACATAATTCCACATCAGTCTCCCAGCCTACACCTACTAGAAAGTTCAGATTTAGTTGTGCCCAGAACAGGCATTCTGTCCAAAGCACTTCCCCAGACACGTGTGCAATATACTCCCCAGTGCAGCCTGCCAGGAATAATACATTTTCCAAGCAGCCCCCTCTCCCATCCTGGACCGCTTCTTTATCTTCCATTGAACCGCTTGTCCAACCAACACCAGCAAAAGACAAGTTCTCGTCCTGCCTTGATTTTTCCCTTCCACCCCCAAACTCCTCTAAATTGAATGATGTAGGAAAAGCATTGAGGTTTTTTCTGGCTTGGAATGCCTCTGTCTCCCCCAAACTTCTCTCTCTTCTACTCTGCATCTCCTCCTCCCTTTCTGCCTTGCTTCCATTTCTGCCTGTTTCCCCCTCCATCACACCTTTTTTGCCACCACCCAAGGATTCGTTCTCACCCCTAAGCTCAGTGCAAATAGATTCTTTTTGAGAAACCAAATAAAACTCTCCCAGGATCATTTTCACGATCTTGGAAGGCTCCTCCTTGACTCTGGAGCTCAGAGTCCTGGTTTTGGAAGCTGGAGAGGAGAGAATTCAGCAGCAGCCAGAGAGGCGTGGAGGAGGGTGCTGTTTGGGGTGTATTTGAGGGAACAGCATATGGGCTTTTTGACGAAACATTCGGAGCTCGCTAGTTTCTGAGCTAAGGATGGAAATGTGCTGCTATGTCTGAACACTGCCTGAACGGATTCAGTCCTTGTTCTTCACATCTTTACAACACCCCACCACCACCTCAGGTCTGCCGCTCCTTTGCCCTGGGGTCCGCTGAGCTCGGTGATAGCAAGAAAAGTTTCTCAGTCAAGTCCTACCCCCACCCGCACTGCTCACGGTAAGACGCCAAACGCCTTGCATAGGGACTATGGGTCCACTGAGTGTTGCTCCCCTCAGAGACGCGCCAGCTTCCGTCTCACGCAAGCAATGAGTTCCCGTGTTCCAGCGGGGATACCCAATAGTGATGAAAAGACAGGCATCCTGGCCCAGCTGCCTGCCTCCACCCTCAGGGCCCCCAGGGCTCAGGCCAGAGACCAGAAAGAAAGGGGGACCTTCAGGGTCCCCCCCCCATGTTAAGAAGGAGGTCATTACCTTGGCAGTGGCTTGCGGGCCGTGATACTGGCGACAATGATGCTCTCGGGACGCGGGGTGGCCACCGCTTTGAAGGTTCCTCGCCAGAACTTCTCAAAAAGCTGCTTTTCGCCTTGCTGAACGCTCGCCATAACCAACCCCAAGCAGGCCGGGGCACCCAGGCGCTGTCCGAAGTGCTGAAACGTGGATTCCCCACGCGGGCACGCCCGGCTCCCGGCTTGGTGTGCGCCTGAAACCCAGAGGGGTGGGGTGGGAGAGCTGGGAGTTCAGGGCGGGGGATGGGACGCCCAGCCTGGGCAGGCGGTGGGGAAGAAAGGTTCGTCTGCCGGCTTTTCTCGCCCTCCGCCTTGGCGCCGGGCTGCTGCTCCGGGCTGGCGAGCCCCAGGAAGGGACAGGAAGCCTGGCTCTCTAGGCAGCACCGGGAGAGCAGAGGCGGCCGGGTCGACTGTGTGTGCGTGCGCGTGTGAGCTCCGGCGCGCCCGGGTTTTGTCTCTCGCACAATGTGACGTTGGACCAGGAGGCTGGTCGCGCGAGCTGCACTTTCCTCCCCCCTCTCCTCCTCTCCGCCAACCCCCTCCTCTTCTGGCTCAGCCTCCTGCCGCCATCTGCATAACAAAAGCCCGTAGGTCTTGGGAGGAGAAAGGGCGGGGCGTGCGCCTGTCACCAGGGCCCCGCGGCCACAGAGTTGCAGCGCTGACCCCACGGAGCAGCAATCCCGGCACAGCGACCCGAACCAGGCAGCAGGTTTCGCTTCTCAGCCCTCCCTCCTCCTCCATCACCGCGGGCCTCCCCCTCTAACCCCCATCCTGGCGTGCGCTCGGCGCCAGCCACCTCCCTTCCCAGCCCCTCCCCAAGTCCTGGAGCGGATCCTCCACCCAAGAAGGGGAAAGTAAAAAAACTTAAACCTACCCGCTCCTGCCGGCCCAACCCCACCCCACGCTTCTAGGAGGCACCGCCTAGGCCAGCAAAGGGGGAGGGAGAGCCCTGCGCTCTCCGCGCCTGGGCCGCGAGGTCCCCGCCACCCAGAAAGTGCCATTTGATGGACAATCCCTCGGCGACTCGGCTCCTCGCCATCTGCCGAGTGGGGACCCCGCCCGCAGAGGGGCGCGGCGCTACATCTGTGCCTGCGGCGCGGTCAAGGCTGTCTCTTTTGTGCCTCGCAGTGAGCCTGTCCAGAGTCCCTGCTGACAACTCCCTCCAAAGGGGACGGTGCCCCTCCCACCCTCGGGGGAGGGGGCGCTCCTGGGGAATTCGGCGGCTGCTACTTTCTTAAGCATGGTTGGGGGGCGGGGGTGGGTCTTGCGAAAGAAGCACGTTATGGAAAAGAAAGCGTTTAGGGGAAGCCTTGGCAATGGTGGGGAGACAGTTACTTTCCCGTCGTTCCTCCCCATCTTCCACCCCCTCCTGGCTGGAACCTGGGCCCAGCGAGCGGAGGTCCAGGTTCTGGATAAGCCCCAGCCACAGAGGATCGGCGCAGAATTTTTTCTTCGTTTTCCTTAGGGGTCTCCTGAAGACAAGGAGATCTTTCCAGGGCCCTCTCAGCTCATCTTTCCCTTGAGCCTTTGGATCTCGGCCGAGTTGTTCCTTCCTCCCACCCGCCAGGCTGTAAACTCTGGGAAGGAGGTCTCGCTGAGTCTCAGAGGCGCCCAAGCCCCTGGAACCTGGTTCTAGCCACAGCAGTGAATAAAACCCATGCTTCCTGCCGGGGCACCAGTGGTAACTTTTGCAATCCTTTGGAAGAGAAGAGGAAAATAGATGCCAAGTAAGAGCAAGAGCAAGAGGCGGGGGGGGGGGGGGGCAGGAGGAAGATGAAGAAACCTGGCGATTCTTAGCGCTGGTCTGGAAGAGCATGCGTGCGTTTGGGTTCCTCTGTGTTCAGGGTTTGTGGAGTCCCTGAGCGCGCCGCTCTGCACTGACCCCTTCTGGCCAACAACTAGAGATGCATTTGTTGGCTTCTCTGTTGGAGAGGTAGGGTCAGGGCTGGGATTCTTGGAGGCATCTAGGCGCGCCATAACCTTCCCTTCCTCCCCACCTCCCTCAACCCGGAGCCCTTGCTAAATAAATAAATTCCCTCACTCAGGACCTGTTTCCCACTCTGAAGCTGATATCGCTTAAATGCAGTTGAGACCTGGGATATTTTAAACTATCCTTAGTTATTACTCGATGTTTAGGGTATGTACTGAGTCACTTGCAGTAGGTGGGATCTTGCCTGACAAGATCAATCAGCATCTCCAAGCCTAATTGCAAGAATCTTGACAAAGTTTCCATTTGCACAATTCTCCTTTTGAATCCCACAGCAGCCAAGTAAGCTGCTTCTTTTAAAAAGAGCAAGTCGGGCCAGCACTGTGGCACAGCAGGTTTTAGCTGCCCACCGCTGACATCCCATGGAAGTTCAGGTTTGAGTCCCAGAGTGCTCCACTTCTGGTCCAGCACCCTGCTACTGTGCCCGGGAAAGTAGTAGAAGATGGTTCAGGTACTTGGACCCCTGCCAAGCATGTGGGAGATTTGGATTATAATTTGGATTACATTCCAAACTCTTGGCTTCTGGCTGCTGTGTCCATTTGGGGAGTGAACCAGTGGGTGGAAAATCGCTTTGTCTCTCCCTCCCGTTCTGTCTCTCTGTGTCACTCTGCCTTTCAAATAAATAAAATAAATCTTTTTTTAAAAAAATGGATGAGGAAGTTGAAGGGACTTGTCTAAGGTGATTCTGCAGGGAACAAAGGAAGTTTGTGAAAAAGTAGTTTCTGTTTTTGCTCGGGAGTGGGAATCTTTGGGACATTAGGCTTATCCCAGGGTGGGGCTGTGTGAAAACTCTCAGATGCCAATGAGCACACACTTAGAAGCACACAATGTTGGGACTTCTCAGTGGGGAGTCTCCAGGATTAAGCTCAGGGCTGGAAGTCAGGCTTCTTGGTTCAGATTCCAGCTCTGCCATTTCCTAGCTGTGTGATTCCAGAGGAGAGACTCGTCTATGCCTCAGTCTCTTTATCAGTAACGTGAAGCTGCTATAAAAAATAATACCCTGTGATTAAATGGACTAGCTGCGAGGGTGGAAGGAGTGAGGCTGTAGAATACAGTTTACTAAGGAATACCTATCATCAGTTGAGTTAAGAGCGTGGCCCCTGGAGTCAGACACAATTCGGGTAGGATGCTCAGCCCTTGTTAGCTGGGTGATCTTGGCCTGGTAACTAACCCCTGCCTCAGTTTTCCCATCTGAAAAATGGAGACATGAGTACACATTTCCTGCGGTTTTTGTGATGATTAAGTGCAACATTACCGGTAATACTCTGTACTGTTTCTGGTTCATACCAAGCACCCACTCAACGGCAGCTGTGACGGCTGCAGCTGCTGGAATCATCACCTGCTAGAATTCAGTTCAGTAATCATTCCCAGATGTCCAGGATCTTGGTCAGTCTCAGTGCTAGAGACGGAGTCCAGAGGTAAACGGACAGGGCTCCCTCCCAAAGGAGCTCAAGTCTGACTCATTTTATGGTCTTTCATCTTTACCTTTTGTCCCCTTTCTGCCTTATCAGTGACTTCGATTTTAGGTCTGGCTTCTCCAATGCAACTTCAACTTCCATCTCCCTATTTCTTGATGAAAATATAACCATCTCGTGTCTCACTCATTCAGGATAATTCTCTCATTTTATCAGGTGCGAGCCGGCCCACTGCATAACCTGAGACCTATCAACATGCCGGCTGGTGACTATACACACATGGCACAAATGCTGCTTTCCTCTGTACTCGGCCAGTGGAAGACATCACTAATCCATCACAGAACTCTTTAGGACCTAGCCTCAGAATCCTTCTCAAGAGACCCATGACTGATGGGTGGGAACTGGCCTCCCAGATGAAGTCATTTTGCCAACCACACTCAGAGGGAACTTCCTCACCAGGTTGGTATCGTTCTCTCATTTAAAAAGCAGGAGTCTAGGAGAAGCGATTCCAAGATTTGCAAATCGAAACACTCCAAAGCAGGAACTAATAGGATTCCTAGGCATTCTTCCCCCGATCAGAAAAATAGCTGCCCCTCCTCCTGGGGCAATTCAAATCTCACCTCACTAACAGCACTGGGTCACTTTGGGTAAATCCCTTCATCTGTCCGTGTCTAGGACATCTCTGAGTGCAATGGGGATAATCATTATCCACCAGCATCAGGGGACACCAGGAAACTTGGCAGTCTGCACCCATTTCTAAACGTCCAGTGAATTGTGAAAGATTCAAGTAATTATGGAGACAATGGAAAATATGATAATGAGACCAACAACAGGATCATGCTAACCCAATTCAAATGATAAGATTCTGTATCTCCTCATATAAATACTTAGGGAGGAAAAAAATGACTGCACTACTCAGGACTTACCAGTCGTCACTCTTTGAAAGTTCTACCTCGCATCTAATTTGAACCCCACACCGCTCTTTATTGTTTGTTCTTCTTCTGGAACACAGACATGCATTTCTGCGAATGTCCCTAGAATACCAGGGGTGAGCCAGGGATCCTCCTGCCCTGGTTGCCTAGTTCCAGAGATTCTACAAGACAAATATGTTCATTGCTGTCTGGTGTAATAACACTAGGTTCTCATCAAATATATGTTACTATATTCTATGTTCTAGGCACCATGTGTGCCAAACCCTTGATAGATATGATCCCAGTTCATCGGAGAAACAAACTTAGGAGAAAGGAAGAATTGTTGCCAATTTTTGCAGAGCTGGAAACTGAGTCTCAGAGTGGTCGAATGATTTGCCCAAGTTACATAGCTAGCAAACAGTAGAGTCCCGTCCTAAACCCAGACCTGTCTCGTCCTACAGCCCAGGCTCTTCTGACTTCCAGCAGCAGGATGAGGACTGTAACATTAGCTGAGTGCACACTTGTGATCGCTCCATCTACAGGTTGTGTGCACACCCACAGTTGCCTGTTATTCTACACATCTATTTATGGCACAACAGATGCTTCTTTCGGAGCCTCCATCCTCTCCACCCTGCTCTTGGAGGAGTAGCAAAAGCAACTTGGCTGGTTCTTCCTCCAGAGGAGAGCACTCTGGTATTTCATAGGTAGTTGGCAGGACGGGCTAGGACTCGCCACGGCTACCATACTGATACGTGTTGAAGGTAACCAAGCTGCCAAATTTCAGCTGGGAGAAGAAGGAAGGAGTCTGGACTGGGAGCTGTCCAGTGGCAGGTCCTGGATAAAGGGACCGTTCCTCCCCAGAACTATTGCACCAGCTATCTAAGTGACCTCCAGAAAGTTCAACTTCTGCTTACACGCTCCCCATACTTACAAACTTTTTTTATTCAACTTTACTCCAATTTTCCCTAATAACTTTCTTCTGCTGAGAAGTCTTCACTGACACCCGCAAAGTAGCACAGTGCCTGCCTAATCCTTTGCATTACTCACAAAGTTCTCATGATCTGATACATCTCTGTCCTTGAACTTCACCCTCTAGTCACTCCAATGACTCATCATGTCCTCACATGCTCCATTCTATTGCATGACTCTGAGTCACTGAAAACTATGCACTTGAGAAACTCCTATTCATCCCTCGACACCTCACCTGTTATCACATCATCTCAGAAGTTTGACCTGATCCATTCCTACCCTTCCATGCTCACAACAAAAATATTCCCTATCTTGGGCCTCCCTGGAGCTGTGGGAGGCCTCTAATTTACTTAGGGTTACTTGTCATAATGTTGACTTGTTATACCCTTAAAAGAATACTTTATATCTAATTGTGCTTGAATCACCAATGTCTGATACTGGATTATCACATAGTAGC